TAGATGTAGGAGATTTATGCTAATTCATGGTATAGATTGTGAAATAAGCTGACTCGAGAATTCTTCTCTTCTTATGCCTTAATGTTCTGCAAGAAGATGCAAGTAAAGAGCTTTTCTAATTCTATCTCATAGATAAGATATTCAATCTATATTATTTCTTTATTCCACTCAATACTGAAGGGAAACTTTTCTGTAGATTTCTTGAGTTCATTGTTCACGGGAAACTCTAGTGAACTGTTGAACTGCTTGTTCTAGCTTGATCTTTCTGTTGCTTGAAAAGCGTTTTCTGTATTATTTAAGTATTTATACTAATAATCAAAAGAGTATCATCCCTTATTCATATCCCTGGTTATAGTATTTAGCATAAATAATAAGGAATGATGAAAAGCACTGTTATTAAGCTCTTCCCCCAGCATCTGAATACTTTGTTTAGCAATATTAAAGCAATTCAAGTTGTTGCTACTTGTAGTTATGCTGAGCATATATCCTTGCTCTGCTGTTGCTATCTGCCTATAGCATCTAGATTTCTAAGAAAACTATTCTGAATCTTTCTTACTCGAAAAATGTATTAAGCAGTTATTATTATAATAGAATGTTTAGCTGAGATTTCCATAATCAATAGAGTTCAATATTTGCTTCAAGAGAGTATTTTTGCTTAGTTGATTGGGTTTCTATTATCAGACAATATTTACTTAGCATTCTTTCTAAACTAGTTGCTATTTATTCTTCTGAAATTAATAGCAATTGCATGCAATATATTCTTATTTATTACAATTATAGCAAATAATACTATTCTTCTTATTATACTATCTATTAGCTGTATTGAGTTCTATAGAATTAGCATGTATAGTGCTGTTCTAAGCTATATTGCTATATTAACTGCTATTCTTGTTTTGAAGTTTCTTGCTTGTATTAGCTGGAAATCTCCAAGTTTAGCTTTCTTCCTTTTTGAACTTCTTCATCCATTATTCATACAGATAGTTATTAATGCGAATAGCTTGATTGAAGAATATTGCGAAGTTCTTCAGCTAATTCTGTTTGGAGATTTCATTTTTAATATTATTCTTGAATCCCTTATAGTAGTATTCTATAAGATTCTTGTTTTCCTACAGAAATCTTGCTAAGAGCTGCTTGAATCTAACTGTATAAGTAGAAGCTGATTTAGTTTGCTTGAGATTCATAAGCTGCTAAGCTGTAATATATTCTTCATTAGAATTATCAAAGATTTCTTTGAAAGCTTTTTCGAAGCTCTTAAAGGAATTGAATATATTCTTAGTACTCTGAGTATATGCATTGGAATTGTTCTGATGCTCCAAGTAGTTGTATAGAGAAAGCTTATATTAGATAAGAGTATTCTTTTCAAGATAAGTTTCTATAAGAATAATCTTTTCAGATTCTATAATGAACTGGATTATATAATACAAGAAATATGCTCTGTAGTAGATAAGAAATTTATATAGCATTTTCTGATTGCTGTTATATATAGCAAGCTTATTCATCTTATATGCTTTTTCAGCATCATTAGTAGCTGTAGAGATGAACTGCATTTGCTGAGCTTATTAAGTTAGCTGAGCTTGTTAGTTAGTAATAATAGCGCTCTGGATCTGCTGTTGTTTGCATAGATTCTGAATATGCTGAATAAGCTGATACATCTAGTTAATCAGTTCTTTCTGAGTAGGAATGCGCAAGAATAAAGAAGTTTCTAGAGAAGCTATTGTATTCTGTATTGTTTAAGAGAATAATACTGAACTATTCTTGAATAAGAGTTGTTAAAATGTAATAAGCATTGCAGCAATCCGAAGATTCCTAAGTATATAAAGAGAGTTTATACTAATAAGAGCAGTATTAAAATATTAAGTTCTTAAATACGGAACTATACAAGTTCTAATAAGCAATGCAAATATTCACTATCTTTGAAGCTACTCAGTATATAAAACTAAATACTTAGATTAATAACTAAAAAGCTATATACAAGATCTATCTAATAGGAATGAATGTATTCTTATATATTCAGCTTTTCAGTTCTATTAGTAGTATTAGTTGTTGGATTTCTTGGATTATCTGGATAATCTAACTGATCCGGATTACCATGGATCAGCTACTGATCCATTCTAATCCTGTAATTCTAATCCTTGCTTATGTAAGCCTTAGTTCTTGAGATATTGAATCCTTCTCTGTCTTTCCGAACAGTTGTTCCGGGTGTCCTAGCTGGTAACCTGCATGTTGGATGAGTCATAACATACTGCTTTAAGCTATACTATCTTATTAATTATTATTTTTGTATTAGAATTTCTTATTTATATTAGCTGGAAATTTTTAAGTTTAGCTTTCTTTCTTGAATTTTTTTATTTATTATTTGTATAGATAATTATTAATATAAATTGCTTAATTAGAAAATATTGCAAAGTTTTCTAGCTAATTCTGCTTAAAGATTTTATTCTTAATATTATTCTTAAGTTTCTTATAATAATACTTTATAAGATTCTTATCTTTCTATAAAAGTCTTACTAAGAGCTGCTTGAATCTGATTATATAAGCAGAAGCTGATTTGATCTGCTTAAGATTCATAAGCTGCTAAGCTGTAATATATTCTTTATTAGAATTGCTAAAGATTTTCTTAAAAGCTTTCTCAAAGCTTGCAAAGGAATTGAATATATCTTTAATATTCTGAGTATATATATCAGAATTATTCTAATACTTTAAGTAGTTATATAGAGAAAGCTTGTATTAGATAAAAGCATTCTTTTCAAAGCAAGTTCCTGCAAGAATAACTTTCTCAGATTTCTTAGTAAACTAAATTATATAATGTAAAAAGTATACTCTGCAGTGAATAAGAAATTCATGCAGTATCTTTTAATTGCTATTATATATAGCAAGCTTATTCATCTTATATATCTTTTCAGCATTGCTGGTAATTATAAAGATAAACTGCACCTACTGAGCTTATTAAATAAGCTGAGCTTGCTAATTAGCAATAATAATACTCTAAGTCTGCTATTAGTTATACAGATTCTGAATGCACTGAATAAGCTAATATATCTGATTAATCAGTTCTTTCTGAGTAGGAATGTATAAGAATGAAAAGATTTCTTAAGAAGCTATTGTATTCCGTATTACTCAAAAGAATAATACTGAACTATTCTTGAATAAGAGTTATCAAAATATAATAAGCACTGCAGCAATCTAAAGATTCCAAAATACACAAAGAAGTTTATGCTAACAAGAGCAGTGCTAAGTATAAGCCTTGAATACGGAAATACAACTGAGTAACTGTACAAGTATTCACTGCCTTTGGAGCTATCAGAGTAGGAGAGTAATCTGATACTTAGATTAATAACTAAAGAGCTATGTACTGAATCTATCTAATAGTAATGAATGTATAGTTATATATTCAGCTCTTCAGTATGAATATATTAAATAGCAACATATCCAAGTTATTCTGCTAGCTCTAAATAGCATATATCCAAAGCTATCCTTCCTGATTGGCTGTGCTTATAACCTTAACTCTGGGTTATGTAATTAATGCTTTGTTAGAATGTTGGGTTCTTGACACCTGGTCCTTGTTACTCGTGACTTGTTTTGTGACCTGCATGTTGGATGGGTCATAACATCTTTAGTTTTTCGAGAACAGGATTTAGAAGCATGAGACTTGTTAATTCTGTTCAACATCTTAATTAGAAAAGTATAATTCAATATATAAAAATCTTGCAAGAAAACTTATAAAAGATTATTAAGAATAATAACTAATAGAAAAGAAATGATATTATAATTTATTCAGCTTATAGATTACAAAATAAGCTTTAGCAATAGAAACTAAGCATTAAGATATTATAATAAATAGCTAATCAGAATTATATAATTAAGAATTAAAATTATAATAAGAATGAATTATTTGAATTATTAATAAGCTAAGTAAGCTAAATCATCTAAATCATTAGTAAGCTAGATAAGCTATACTAAAGAGCTGAATATATAAGAATATATTCATTATTATTAGATAGATTATCAGAATATAACTCTTTAGTTATCAATCTAAGTATTCATTTGTTACATATTTAAATAGCTCCAAAGGTGAATGATCAGTACTTGCACGGATTACTCAGTTATATTTCCGTATTCAGTGAATTCTACTTCGATACCGCTCTTGTTAGTATAAACTCTTTGTATACTTCAGATCTTCGGATATTGCAGTGCGCTTCATTATACTTAGCTTCTTCCTCGCTTGCTTTCCACCGAAAATCATGATGTAGCTTAAGATATTGTACCGCACAGTGAATAAGCCTCTTATAACCGCATCTCAGCTTACCCAACACTCCCATACTTTGTCTTTAATCTATTCTTCATATTTCCTTTTCCCTACTTCTCCCTCTTAGGTTCAAGATGCAGTATAGCTATCTATAAGATCTGCGATATTAGCATCCTGTTTCTATTGGCCATCGTAGGAGCGGGGAGATGGGCGTAATGTCGGGGATCGAAGGAGGTGTCCCGTGCTCCAGCTGCGGTGTCGGCGTCCACGACCTCGAGGCAGATATAGTCGTGGTGGTGATGGTCGAGTCCAGGGGTCCAGAGTGGTGGTATGAATAAGGCCACCCTATGATGAGAGGGATGTGCAAAACCACGTACACGATGGAGAATACCAAGATGAGTACACCCATTAGGATGCCACAAGATTTGAGCACAACCCAGCGCAAAAGAGCCTTGATAGGTGATGGGATGTAGACGCCAGAAGAGAACACAAATGACTTCTGCGTATAAGTCCCAGAGAAAAGCTAGAGCCCACCGGGCGATTCCTGGGATCCCTCCAGCTGTCATTTTGGTGTTACCCGCGCGTCCCCCTTCACAGGGAGACTGGTGGTGTTGATTAGGTGGCCTGGGTGGCTGCAGTGCTTTGGGGATGGGAACTAGCAGCTCCTCGTCTTGGAGGTGGGACACCTTCGCTGTGGGCGTAGCTTGGGTTCCCTGAAGCTTCAGGTTGGCCCTAAACCTCTCCTTCAGCTGGTATGGACGAAGCGGTGCCATCGCGCTGGGGTGACCGGTCCTTGATCCAGAAGGGCGAGGGCGAGGAAGGTGGACAAGCAGAGAGGGCCGTGATGGTAGAGAGGCTGTTGAAGCCGTGTGTGTCAGGTCTCTGATCTTGCAATCAACTGTTCCTACGACTGGGCTTAAAGGTGCTTTTTTTTTTCTTTCTTTCTTTGGACTGGAGATTTTCAGTTGAAACGGTGTGCTACGAGTTCTTTGTGCCAAAGTGTCACATATTGTCTCGCCAGCCACAAGCCACAACAAGCGTGACGTGTACGCTTCCACTCAGTTCAACCCGCCAGAACCGGCCTGAGCAACTCTGTCCTTTCAGCTGTCGGCAGCTCAACTCCCCCCTCCTCCCCCCCCAAAAAACCCTCCAAAAAGAACTCCTATCTATCTTGCCCAGGTTGTACGATCCATTTTGCACAATATCAACGACCCAAAACGAACAGGAAAAAAAAAAAGGTCAAGGACAATCCTAGAGAATACAATATGTGGTCACTGCGTGTTACGATCGCCAGCATCTCTGTCACGGTAGCAGCACTCTTATTGGGTTGTACAAACTGGCCTGTCAGAACCAGTGACTACGAGAGCGACGGCAATAATGCTGCAGCACTCCAGGCAGCCAGATCTCAAGAAAACGCCGCGATAAGAAAACACGCGGACTGGGACAGCCCAGCGGGGGCGATCTGCAGGGCACACCAACAAGCCAAGATACACCTCGCCATCTCGACACCTGACCTTCCCCCAATCCCGCACGAGGTGCTCAACATCAACCTGGCCGTGTGCCCATTCGTACCGCTGGCAGGGCTGATTAGTGGGTTTGGTGTGCAGTAACTTGCTGCTGTCCTGGCTGTGCTGGACGCATACGAAGCGCGTGTCCAGGAGACATACATCTGGGCCCATCATGGGGCGTCTGAGCAGGATCTTGACTAGAGAAGTGGAGTCCTGTACGCACTGTCTCTTGCGGCCGAGCTTATGGTGACGCCGGCCTGGAGGAACCAATACATCCGCGAGGTGGTGCCTTTACTGCATAAAAGCGTCACCAAGGTGCGCAGACGAAGTTGGCCAGGTGTCGGCGGCGGCGACGGCGACCAGGCCCCCGAAGAGCAGGCCGCCAAGGTCAAGGCTCTGGATCAATGGTGCCTGGATCACGGTGTGAGCGAGCTGATGTAAACGGTCCCATTGGCGCTAGAAATTCAACACTTACTAGTACAGTTTCGGACAAATGATTACATAACCCATGACAGGATTGTCCGAACTAATCAGGAAGGGACCGCAACGATCGCACAGCGGTTCTTACGGTCCAAGGATGGGACCGCAACAGTCGCACTGCGGCAGCCACGGTCCAGGACTGAAGAGACGGATATATAACTACACAGTCCTTACCAATGGAAAGATCTTGTACATAGCTCTTTAGTTTGTTTGTTTGTTTGTGTTATTTGACGCCAGAGGGAAAGGAAGCGTAGCTATCCTTTCCAGACCTCCCGAGGGGTATAAGGCGCGCTGAGCTAGGTTGCCTTCAAGCTTGGTTATAAGTCCAAGGCCAACAAGGACCTGATTGCGGCCCTCGCCCAGGTCTCTGGTGAATCCGCACTCGTCCATTAAGACAGCTGCCAGCAGGGCAACGGCCTGTGGCGAGGTTGCGTGGTGATATGGAAGGGGGTTGTTGAATCGGCGACTGCAGTCTGTGCCAACTGCTACTACAACGGAGGCGCCTCACTGTGCCACTGGCCAGAGCGATGCCTGGTGCATATATCCAATATATGCCGGCGACTCAGAGCAATGGCCGGTGTATATGAGAAAGACGAAAGAGGGACTCTACCTGAGCTTCATCAACATTGGCCAATATCTGCAATAATCGGAGCGGCTCTTCGAGGGCCATGCCTAGGTTTCGAGATATGGATCCCTGCTTTCTTTTGAATCCGGCTAGCCCAGCTGCCAGCGGTCTGGCTGGAGATCTTCTCGTTGCGCTGCGCTGTGGAGCGCCGGAGAAGTCGGATCTTATACCATAGCCGGCGGTCTGAGAAGTCCGGCAGAGGCTCCTTTTCGCATCCGAAGCGCCAGAAGTACCAGAAAGCCACAGCGCTGACTACACAGCTGAGAGGGTCGCGATGCCGAAGCGCGCCGCCATACTGGATACGCGCATCTGTATTCTTTTTGCCCTGTCTCATTACAGCCACAAGACAGCGTGGCGGCGGCAGCCCTGATCGTCTCTGGCGATATGCCTCCGGCAGCGTGAAGCTGAACAGGTCTGGCATCTCGAGGGCCGAGCGCTCGCCAGGCCTCTAGGCAAGATGTGTGCCCAAGAGAAAGTCCCTATTGGTCCGCAGCGCCTGGCCTATGGATCGGCTATAGCCCCAAGTCCAAGCTGCGCGCGTATGGTTAGGTATCTCGAGCTGCGAATACACATCTCGAAGAGTAAGGTCCAGGCGGTCTGCGTATTCGTCGCGCTGTCTGGCGTACGTCTCGTCGCTGGGTTCTTTCAACAGATCCTTGAGCAACATAGTCCTGGGGTTCGGTGCCGCATTCATATTAACAGAGGTCTGGAAGGCCCAGAGCTTGACGATGGCTGAGATATAGCTCTTGACGGAGTTAAGGTGAAGGAGGAGCCGGATGCTTGGGTGCAGCGACGTGGCCCAGTCCGACTGGTATCTCCCCACAAAGGGGAATCAGCCTCGCATCAACATTCATCTGCCTTTTGGAGGCTTCTAGGGCGCTGTGGCCGTGGCGGTAGGGCTAGATCGCGAGGAGGGATTCTGATGCTGGAGGACACGATGTCGGCCGCGATACCCCGCGCGCATACAGCACCTTGAAATCCATAAGATCTGGCCATTTGAAGAAGCGGTGTGGTCGGCCAGGGTGGCCGATAACCCCGGGTGGCCGATAACCCCCCCCCCCCCCCTGCGACTTATATCCTTGCCACGAGCCAGACCCATGCTCCTATATGAAGAGAACCAAGACGCGCTGGGCAGCAGTAGGGCCAAGGTCTTTACTGGACCAAACATATGAAAGATAGCAGCATAAGAGACACAGATGATGGAGCTATCGAGTTCGTAAAAGCCAAGACGCTAGCGCTAAAGGGAAGAGGAGAAATTCTGGCCAGCCTTGCTGTCGTAGCCTTCTTGCTAGACGATTCTTGAGTACTGCATCAAAAGCCCCTTGTACGTCCATCGTCAGAAGGGAGGCCCTCTGTCCCCTGATGGAGAGCTTTTTTGATATCGTGGGTGAGGCATGTTGCCAAGTCAACCGCTGACCTTTTCGGGAGAGCTCCGAAATGCTGGCTGCTGAGGAGGCCTCGCGTGACTGCGAGCGTTGACATCCTTCTTGCCACCAGTCGCTCGAGCCCCTTTCCCAATGCAAGAGAGCAGAGCTATGGGACGATATGCCCGATAGGTTGAGTAGTCTGACTTTCCCGGTTTTGGGATCATTGTGACCTCTGCCTTTCGGAAAGCTCTGGGGTGGTATCCAGCTCGTAGGCATCCCCCATATAAGGCTGCTATAGGCTCAGCAATCCACGACCAGGCCGCTCTGAGGAGCCTGACAGTAATGCCGTCTATACCTGGCGCAGTATTGCTTGTGTGCAGGCAGCAGTGTTCTGCTTCTTGAGTCGTTACTGTCTCGTCCCATGGGATCGCCTCTGGCGAGTCCTCTATAGCCAGTTGTTCCCAAGGGTCTTCGATGTCGTCCTCTGCTGAGAATCGGAAGAGCACTTTGTCCCTGAGCAGGCTAGCCTTGGCTGTCGGTTCTGTGATCATCCGTCCTTGGTCCACGAGAGGCGGCGGCTGGTACGAACCGGGACTTTTGTGCCAGGCTGTAATCTTGAATATGTCCTTCGAGGTAGTTGCTTTTCCAATCATTCCCTCCCAGTATGATCGCTTTGCCTTTCTCGCTTCGGTCTTAAGAGCTTTGTTGGCCATCCTCAGCAGCTCTGTATCCCCTTCTCTCTCTCATAGCCTCCTTGGCTCTCTGCTGCGCTTGGCGACATCCCTCTGTCCACCACACAGCTGCGTGCCCTCTTCGTTTTACCCTTTCCCCTGTGGCTCCCATTGCCCCCTGTAGGAGTTCTGAGAGTTCTTGTGCTAATATATCCAACAACTCTGGAGTACCATCCAGTGTTCGGATCCGGCTGCTGTGTCGTTTTACCATCTGCGCGAACTTATTCTCCATGGTTTCCTTGACCTTTAGGCGCCCTTCTCTTCGAGGCAGCGCCTGGTCTCCCGTGATCTCCGTCTATAGCGTATAGTGGTCAGATCCTGTATACAGCTCTTGGAGCACATTTGTGCGTATATCTGTCAGCGAGGTAAACACTAGGTTGATAGTATTTCCTGCTTTGTGCGTGGGTTCCTCTGAGTTGGCAGCATACACCTGGTGATCCTCTGCCCAAGCTGCTATCCTGTTCTCTGGCCCGCAGTGTCGTTGATGCCCCCGGCTGCCATGTCTAGTGGCAGCGCGTTGAAATCTCTGGCAACCACTATTCTGTCGGGTAGTTCCCACTTCTCCAGCGCATCTAGCACCTCGTGGCTCCTAGGGTTCACGTATATATTGGCGATCGTGATTCCCTGGACAAATACAGCATAGAAGTCATGCGATCCGAAAGGCCTTTCCTGGTATACTGTTCAGTTCCGGCCCCTTCTTCATATATGTAACCACCCCTGGTCTGCTCGTTCATATGTCTATCGGTATATATATGTCGTAGCCCGGGTGGGTTTTCGTAAGATTGCGGCTGCCTCTGCTCTGTGCCCAGGGCTCTTGGATCAAGATTACATCTGCCCTTGCTTCCCAGGCCACATTCAATGCAATATCGTGTACTGGCCCGCTCTTTCCGCAGTTCACCGGAAGGAGCCGGAGCCTACACCCTTGTCTGTCGCTCTGCCTTGTCTGTGGTGTATTCACGATATTAGGCGTTGGTGTCCATCGGGGTCCTCAGCAGACTCCAGGAGTTCCGTTGATGCCACAATGATTGATTTCCTCCGCCATGATCGGGTCTGGCGAGGATGTGGGTGGAGGGGGGCCTTTCCTCTGTCCGCTGAGGCTGTCCTATTTCTGGTGGGGAGTTCGGCGTGGAGGCTTGCTGGGGGGGGGGGGGGGGATTTCCTCTCCTCTCCTCTCCTGCTCTGGCTTGTCCCTCGTGTCCTGCGGCTCCTTTGGGGCTTGGGCGTGAGCTGCTGCATACTCCTTTTCCCCTAGCTTTCTGATCGCCTGGAGCTGTCTCTGTGTAGGTCTGTGGATCTTTCCGTGTTTCCTCTTTGGGCGGGCCGGGCAGCTCGGGAAGTTGGACGGGTGAGGACCTTTACAGTTGGGGCACCGAGGATGTCGTGTGCACCTCGGGGTGCACCGCGTTTTGTCTCCGCAGTTTTGGCACTTCTCAGGGCGCAAGCACTGCCTGGGGTCGTGGAAGTCGAGACATCGGCTGCACTGTGTAACCTGTTCCTTTTCCTTCAGCCTCCTGGCTGGCGGGGAAACTCTCAAAGATCCCGGAAGCCTGGCTTGACCGTGTTCCGGAAGGAGATGACCCAGTTTCTCCTCTGTCCCTCCTCTTGGTGTCCCGAGGGCTTGCACTGGACTGGTACTGATCCTGTGGGCGGCGTTGACCTCCGCTGGGATCAGCTCTTCCGTTCGGCGCTCTCCATTGTGTGTCTTGAGGGAGTTCGGGACGCTGTTGACAATGTAGGTGTACCATTTCTCCGCTTTCTCCACAACTGCTCCGTGATCCTCCAGGAAAGACCATGGTGCACATAGCTTTGTCTCTGCTTCCTTGGACGCGGTACGGACAGCAAAAGCCACTTCGTACTTGTTGGACCTGCTTAAAATCCGCTAGCCGTATGCCGGTTTGGTCGCTGAGGCTGACCTTGGCTTCCGGCGCCGTAAGGCTACGCCATGGGTGCCAAGTTGGCAGCAGCCGGATGAAGATCCGGTCGTCCGCTTTCGCCTCCTCCCTTCCGCCTTTTGCCGCCTTGCGTGTTGGCTCGAGGGCCAGGTTTTGCTGCTCGTCTTCTTTCTCTGGACAAGCGTCCATTGGGATTCGTCGCTGGTTGCCTTGGATTGGCCTTCGCTGTGGGCTTTGCTACGTGGCTCACGTTGTTGGGGGGGGGCGGGTTCTCGTCCAGTCTTCTGGCCAATTTCCTTGTCTTGTAGTTCGGCCCGGGCCCGTTGTTGCGGGGCGGGTGGAGTGAGTCTCGTCTTGGTTGGGTCCGGAGTTCCTATATTGGTTCCCCCCTGTGGGGTGGATTCAGCGCTCAACTGTCCCGCCCCGCTGGCCAGCTGTAAGAGCGCCCTCCCTCCTCAGCACTGCGCCCGCGTTTTTGGCCCAGGTCTTCTGGAACCCTGTGCTGAATTCGCTGAGGGGCGAGGTCGAGCGCTTTCGATGTTGTAGTGAGAACTTGGCGGCGAGCCCGTCGTTCGCTCTCCTCCCCAAGGAGAGAGAGTTCGACCGCTTCTTGGAGCGGTCCTTTCCCCGGTGCTGTCTGCTTCGCGTTGTTGGCCGTGAAGACGAGGTTCCGTGGGACAGAATTGTTGCCCCAGGCAAGGTCGCGCAAGGGCAACTCCTGTGGCGATGTTGGGAGTGATGTCTGTTGTCGCCGCGAGTGAGGACAGGACCTCGACGGGCCTTTTCTTTGCCGGTCGAGGTGCTTCGGGGGGGAAGCCCGCTGGCCTCCTGTAACTGTACGTCGCTCCTCCGCAAGCATACTTAGCCCTCCTGCACACAGTGCAAGCAGTTTCGTTGTACTGTGATCCCCAGCAATCCGTTCCTTCTTTGCACAATGCGAGAGGTTTGCGGGACTGTGTTGTCTAGAAGGAAGGAGACCCTCTTCGCCAGCGGGTCCCTTTCCCTGCTCTGCCTATCCATACCCTGTGGCCTGCTCCGCGCCTTTTTTACTTCTGCGTCGAACAACCTCCGCTCGCCAAAGAAGATGTCCGTGCGCCGAGCCGGCTATTTCTTGGCCCCCTGTAGGCGACAAACCACCACCCCAGCACCCCCTTTGTCGGTTTTACTAACCATAACCCCCGGGCCTTCTTGGCGCTCGGTTTAGCGTGCCCAGGCCACCACCAGACCTCCCCGCCGTAAAGAGCGACCGGGAGTACGCAGGCCGAGGTAGCGAGTGCCGTGAGGTTGGGGGGGGAACCGTCCGAGACCCGGTTGGAGAGATTCAATAGGTGGCTTCTCTACACATGAAGATTATATATATGCCCAATGCAGTTCATACAGCGCCTTGTTCACAGCCGCGTTTTGTATTCCTCCTACTGTATCTGTATTACGGGATCATTACACATTAAGTCGAGAACACGCTGTTGTGGCCGCCGAATTTAGTTGGCGCGGGCCGCTAAATTCGGCGGCCCTGGCAGTGCGGCGCAACTGTCACTACTAAGTACTTACTACCTCCTCCACTGCAGAGGAGGATCGCCATCCCTGCAACTGCGCCGCTCGTCACTTTCCTGAAAATAGAACCTGCCAGTTTCGCGTTTTCTCTTTTGGACCCGTGCATTGAATCCTTGAGTTACAAAATGGCCAGTGCTCACACCGTTCGGCGCTCTAGCCTCGCCGACTCGCTTTGCTCGAGTCAAAGACCCTTTACCCCCTACGAGCACGTAGTAGTGTCGGTATGGCACCGCGTCGCCCTTCACCCCCGTACACAAAGCAGACCCCATCGTCAGCATGCGGATTTCATCCAGCACTTCACGCGGCGCGAAGCCCAGAAGCGGCTTGCGCGACGCCCAGATGCGCTGACGGCTGCACAGCATGCAGCACTTCGCGAGCAGCTCAAAGAACGTTCACTTCCTCAAGCCCGACTACGCCGACAACACTAAAGTGAATATAGCAGGTATTCTGCGAAAGCGGAAGAGGTAATCGGCCGCCCTGACCCTGTTCCTATCCGTCTTATCGCTAACTTGGGCATGGAGATATTGCGAGTCCGCCGAGCTTACCAACGAGTGGCGAGACGTGATCCAGGGCGGCGCAGATCGATCCATGGCGATGGATTTTCTGTTCCACTTGTGTGAATCCTACAAGATCAAGTCGTGGGGGACATCGTGGGAGTATTTTCGCCAATACAAGCAGCTGTACGCCAGCGTTACCGGCCAGTATATGGACAGGAACGATAGCAAAGAAATCCTCAAGGTGCGATACTATACGCCTTCCGTCATGACAGGTACTGACTGTCCTATTCAGTGGCATGACGCGGTCCTCGTTCACCGCTTTGGCCTAGTAGCTCCGAACGGCGGCGGAAAGGACGTGGCCGATTCCGGCGACTTGCTTGCCCTCCAGACCTTCAACATCGCCTACGACACAGGCGTCTTCTCGGGAGAAAGGCATCGCATACAATTAGCAGGGTGCTACCTCGGTCTCGCCTTCACGGGGGCGCGACCGGCAGAGTTTGTAGACGGGGGAGCGAAAGAGCGGCAAGGATGGGTGCCTAGAGGAGCTGTTCCCGCGGAAACCGCGAGTAGCCCATGAAGAAGACGGTACAAAGGCGCTGGAGCCGAGCTCCGGACTACTTGAAGACATTCTCGCACAAGAATATGCCAGCCGGGGGCGTCCGAAAGCGCTCTGCTACGAAAGACATCCTACTGATGGTCGTGCGCCATCCGAACACTAGCGAGGACGTCCTGGCGATGTCGATCAAATTTGCGCATCACAAGGGAGGGGGCAGATAACAAGCCGAAGCCGTAAGTCGTTCTATCTCGCCCTTGGGCCTGGCGTCTTACCTAACATATGCTGGACCTCCAGGACTGTCTTCTTTTTCACGCCCACCAGGAGGTTAATTTTTCTGTCTCATCAGCGTCGTTGTCAGCCTAGCGGTACATGACGGCGCATTCGCTGCGTCGAATCTCACCAGTGCCAGACAGGTCTTTCAGGTCAAAAATCGAGGTCCAGTCAAATGCACTCCTTTACGCTGGAAGGAGGAATGGCTCAAGCGACCCATTTTCCGCCGTTGCGGTGATTTGCCAGACGACTCGGGCGGTGCTCAATACCAACCGCTCCCATACCACAAGCTCAGAGACGACATGGCACGACAGTCATTGGATAGTGGATGTGAAAAAGCAATCGAACCAAAGGCCTGGCGTAGAGGAGCCGCAAACTCTGCTAATGGTATGTCAAATCGGTTCCCTCGCCGGCATGTTGGTTCTGACAGCGCACAGGCCACGCTCCTGATGCTGTCCGCGACCAGATGATGATGCGACACGACCCGAAGTGGGCTACTTTCAACAGCGCGTATATCAACGAGAAGGTCCAGTTCCATCTTCAAAACGCGTTTTTAGACGAACCCACTGAAGACAGCCTAATTGGAATGCTGTCGCATATCGGACTGATGCGCGACCCCCGTGCGAGCGAGGATATGGTCCCCGATGAGGTTTGGGAGAAAATGCCGCCCAATCCAGAGATTATCGAGCTCCGAGGCAGAGCGAGCGCAGCTGAAAGACGGTCAATACAGAATCAGAGGCACGGAAAACGAGACACGGGTGCGGGAGCTTACCCGGAAAATTGCAACGAAGCAAGCGCAACGCGACAAGGCCATCCGGCGAGAATTCCGGGCTCACCATTTCCATAACCGCCCAACCTGGGATATTGAAAGGCACGCCAGCGGGGATGAAGAAGAGGACAGATACATTGAACCGACGATGGACTTGCACCCACCCGAGAGGGCTCGGCTCGCTGAGATTCTTTGTAATCAGCCGGACGATTCCGAATCCCTTGGAGCTGCTCGAACTCCGCATCGAGGCTACTGAGCTGATGATAGCCTTGTGCGGAAAGACGGAAACAGTGAAGCGGCATCGCACTCGGCGCAAGGCAGCAGGGGGAATTCTGATCAAGGAAGAGTCTCCTGGGCCAAGATCCTTTCCCGCTACTTATGCACAGGACGCAATGCCCTCGCTGCATCGGGGGACAACAGGCTGTCGTACGAGGAACGAACATTCCAGTATTGTCGACCTGCGGTGATGCACGATCATTTTGACACGAAGCACGCAGGACGGATGAGCGGTTCCAAGCAGATCACATGCTGTCACCCAAGGTGCCATGGAGGAAGAGCTGGAGTTCAAAGACTTGGGCCATTTCAAGAACCATGTAGAGAGGATCCATGGCGTCAAATTGCGGCCTTGAATATCTCTGGACCAGGAGCGTTGCGCGTACTCTCATTGACTGTATTGCAGCCCTACATAGCGCGAAATCCCACTTCGCGCACAAGCCGGAGTGCAAAACGACGGCCGATTCGGGCCGCAAATTCTGATTGATATCCGAGCCACTTCATATCCCTAATCTCCAATCACAAAGCTGCTGATAGCAGCGAATTGTGCCCGAAGAAGAACATTTACACGCTCGGCCAATGTCTGGCCGCATGCGGTTCCAGAGTTATTCAAACTATATCCATTCACCTGCCACGCCGAGGAGAGATTATCTCTCTCTAATCTCCAATATTATCTTTGATGTAAAGGCAGGACAGACGTCCCCCAGCAGGCTGTCTATGCGTACTTTGTTTTCTTTCGTTAACAACCCTGTAGTAACTCGTCGTCATCAGCCTTGTGCGACACCAAGGGCAGTATCGCGGGCAGCACGGAGATGTGTGTGACAATGACCACTTGCAGCCACGCAAGTTTCAGCCACTTCTTTATCAAGGGTTAATATGTGAATCTGTCCGAACTTGCAGCGTCGATTGAGAATATTGTCGTGAGATGTTATGATAGAGAATATATTGAATTCCTATCCGGGCCTGTTCTTCCGCAAAATCACAAGCGTCAAGGATCAAATATGAACCACAATCCCCCTCAAGATACTGTTGTTATTACGATGGGTCGTGGATAGCGGTGTTCCTGTCAAAAAGTTAGAATCGACCCACTATAGTTGAACGCCCAGAACTCTTACAATATCACTTCCTATCAGGGGAAGATAGTTCTGTCTAGATCGACACACGTAATCTTGGCGATATCTGCTGATAGAGATGTGGAACTCGGCTCCATACACCTCGTGAAGCTGCCTTAAAAGTTTTCACCAATGTGCGCCATCTCTTTCGAAAATTTTCGCCGCTTCTGTCTCTTTTCCTCGGTCGTTTCGCAAGACCGTTCTTGCGCCCTGCGGTAAGATCTTGCAAGGGTTGTTCAGGAATGCCACCAAGACGTTCAGCTTCGGCGTTAGACATAACGTAGGCCGGTTTTCGTCACCAAAGGATGGAACGGAGGCGTATTCCGGGGATAGAGAGCCACTGAAAGACAGCGAGATTTCAAAATTCATGCTCGCTTATTATACTACAGGAGAACAATAAAGGGCCAAAAAAAAAACCAGAATCCTGTCGTCCATGATACCATTTACTGTAAATGGTAAATTCTCTACAGTCAAGCTTTGATATGTACTAAATTTGCGTTTTCCTATGATCGCGCGACTCCGGCAGGCGGAGCTTGGCTGGTGATAGGAAACGATCAAAGGTCGGTATTAGCGTATGGACGGGATACCAGCAATAATAAACGAAAGAAAGAACCTATCTTCCCAATGAAACCATGTCTGACTCCGCCTATGCTGAGGTCACCAAGGTACGTACCGCACTCAACCGGCTTCGTGGTCTGGAACGTTTACCATCTTTACAAGTATCAGCGCTGACGTTTCAGTGAGAAAACTGATCCGGTAGCCGCGCTGCCCAAAAATACACACTTAGGATCCCTGTACCTTGGTACCAAAAAGATGCCAGAAACCAGAAACATGACAACCGGAAACCAGAAACAGCTCTGCCGGCACGGTAGCACACTCAGCCCTCCTGGGGAGATCTCTATGGGAGAAGACAGGGTACTTTGCGAGGTTGGTGAGCCCATGTTTGTATATCTAGTAAGATTGCGTAAAGAAATGCTAGTGTTACTTTAGAACCTGGATGCAGAAACCTCTGTGTTAGAAAGACGGAGCAGCTTGTAAATTTATGCCATCGTATGTCCTACTACCATAACTAGATTCTAGAAACCGTATCCATTCAAACCCCCGTTTGCAATTGACCCCTGTCTGCAAGTGGGCAACATGGGAAGTCCGGCATATTCAAATCATTATCATACACCTAATACAGCACCACAATCAATATATTATTCATCTTCATAATGCTGCATAGCTACAATTACCTCCTGTATAATCTCTTCTATCTCGTCTAGTAATTACATCCTGGGCGCAGTGCCTGGCGCAACCCTCTTCCTTTTGGCAGAGACTACCTTTGCCTCTTCTTTTTGCCTTTTCATAACATCGTCTAAATCTATAAAGAAAGAGTTGGCATCCCGATTCACAGTCCTTTTAGCCTGTGGCTTAACAAAATCAAACTAAATTTCCAACGCCTCTAGGCAGTACTACAAGGTCGCATTCTCCATATTGCCTCAATTAATCGCCTTCCCTGCCTTACCCCATAGCAGTCTGATCGCCCTTTCCTGTCCCTTCAACTAAACCAATTAGTCTCTGACGTCTTAAGACTTATACAAGGTCCATACCTCTCCATATAGATCGTTTTCAGGCTTATGGGAGATAATCAAAGAGGGCTGATCGGCTGTAAGAATATCTCCTTCTTTCTCTCCCACCTCTTGCACTATAGAACGGTTGAAAGGACAGATTCCCGTCTTGTCTAAAGCCTAACCATATATTTTTATCAGTAAACAATTGAGTGCGCGCAGCTTCATAAGCTTAGATAAATCTCTGCTTATTAATTAGGGCGCTAGCGGTAAGGGATATAAACCAAGCTGTATACTGATAATAGTACTCCTTCAATGCTAAAAACACAGCCACATCCAAGGGCTGTATCTTTTAAGACGAGTATACAGGTAAATAGAAAGGGCGGACTTTATTCTAGCAACATTTAAACATAAAGTCAACGCCTATGTAAGTGTAGTAACCATCAAGTATAAGCAGTCGCCACTCTCGAAGGTCATCCGGCTTAGTAGAGGGCAAGTAGATCTTTTCGAGCCATTCTATGGCAATCTTAGTATTAGACCAGCCGCTAAGGCTATAAGTGTATTTCCAGTAATAAGGGAAGTTACCATTAGGCGGAAAGTGTTAAACTTAAGGGGATTAACCCGTGAAGATAACCAGTGGATCAAGCAAACCTCCCTCTGCTTTAATACACTCCAATATTGACACCCATGTGCGCGCGCCGCTGGTAATCTTCATAGAACGTTTCGTCAAATTACTTCCAACCACTTTGCCAGCTTTAAACTCTCCCTCCGCAACTCCGTTCTCGTCCAAGTTGGCAATATTCTTCGGGAGGATCTTAAGCTCTTCAATAACGGTAAAAAGACGATTAAAATGGCTCGTTCATGGCCTTTTAAGAGGTATAGTATGCCCTGTCTGATGCCAGCAGTCTTGATCCCTTCGTTTATAAGCGCAGATTTCAATTCACAAACTTCCTTACCCAGTTCTTGCCCACGGGAGTAGTACTACTGCCAGCGTACATGTCAGGGCCGATTGTGCCAGCAAGGCTCAGAGCCAGCTAAGCCAGCTGGATTACGGATGATTAAGCAATATGCGGCTATAAAGCGGCTTTCTAGCCACATCAGCACTGCTGAGCAGAACTTAGTTCCTTAGGCCTCAATGTCATTTCTGGTTGTATGCCCTTGAAAGAGAGGAAAGACCTCGCCACATTGCCTTTGCAACCTTTCCACCTGACAGTACATAACCAACTAGGCAAAAGCGCATAATTCCTTCAAGGTAATGGCTCTCCCGCACCTTTCTTCTTGCAAAATCCATTCCGCCAGGTCATATTCTTACTCGGAGGATAATTTTCGGTTGTTAATACCGTCTTAGGCATTACTGTTTTGGCCGTGGAGGTGTCTCGAGAATGTAGACGGGTCGATTCCGTATAGTGCAGCGGCATCCTTTTGCAACAACCCGTTTCGAACGGCCGAAATGGCCTTAGCCATGAGTTCATCTTCATAAACAGGCATAATGAATCTAAAGACGAGAAGAAAAAAAAATTCATTAAGTAATAGGGGGTAAAAGTGGTCGTGTTGACTGGATTTGCATCTGAAACTCGCTTGCAGGCAGGGGTCAATTGCAGACGGGGGTTCGAATGAATAAACGGCGATACTTTCCTGAATGACCAAGAGCGCGCTGCAAAGTACCTGAGTACCTGGGTAACTGCAGGTATGGGAGATCTGCGAAATACTATTTACGGAGAACCGTAATTCAGCATCCACCAAGCCCAGGTCTCGAAACCCGTCCACCAAAAAACAGAAAGCCACTGAATTCTACGATCCACCCGAAACAAGAAATCTACCACCCACTGAGAAGTAAATCTACCATCCACCTACAGCTGAACTAAATCTACATTCCACTGTGAACTAAATCTACCATCCACTCACAGCTGAACTAAATCTACCATCCACCTGGTTCAGCCCTCTGAGGTTCATCCCTCCCTCTCAGATCCAACCCTTTTATTTGAGGGTCAACCCTCTTTTCAGGTCCAGTCCTCTTTTCAGGCCCAGCTCTTTTACGTGAGGGTCAACCCTCGTTGCAGGTCCAACCCTCTTTTCAGGTCCAGTCCTTTTATTTGAGGTTCAACCCTCTTTTCAGGCCCAGCCTTTGTATTTGAGGGTCAATTGAGGTGCAGCTCTCTTTGAGGGGTAGGATTAGAGGGTTGGCCTTGAGAGGGCTAGACATGAAAAGAGGCCTGACCCCTTGTCTTCTTAAGTCTAGCTCTCCTTCTAGATTATCTACATCTAACTAAGCTTTATACCTCTTACTTCTGGTCTTTATAGTTCTATTATTAGGTAGTTAATCAACTGGTCATATTTTACGCAGAGATCGAATCTTCTTCTCTCGGTACGAATGCACTAACGGGGAGCTTAGTTTACAAGTTGACTAAATAGTCTCTGGCAAAAGTTTTCAGAAAACCAGATTCATTTTCGCTTTTCCAGAAATCTGCATTCCTCGCACAGCAAACATAAGGGCCGCTTAAGGTTGTTTAGATAATTGGTAAGTTGATAAGTTTGAAAAGAGTTTCCGCTTTTCCAGATTTCTGCAAAGCACAGACACATATAAAGAGCGTGCCGTTCCTCTAATACTGGGAATTCTCATCCAACGCAATTCTTTAACTCGGCGTCTCTGATACCACCAAAGCATAATATCTTGTCTTTACTATGATCGATTATTTTGTTGGCTCCTGCCAGCTGGCACTGGGCCGATTGACATTCGATTCTAGTCGAGAACCAAATCCTAGTGCCATTCACCGGCTCTCGGAGGTGCTTAGATTGTCATGCGATCCCATGAGTCACCAGATTCCAGCTGTGGTGTCGCCTGAGGAGCTCCAGACAGTACTCGATGATTCAAACGTCTCCAGGGAAGCTCTTGTGGAGAATCGTCAACCACATCCAGAATTATTCCCATCGGCCAAGCTGAGGGGCATCCATGGGAGACAGCGATTCGAAGCCGCGCTGCGTGTTTACGGTTCTCGGAAGTTGTGGACAGTGCAACTATACTGTATTCCCGCTGAAAGCGATGTATATCGATTGTTGCAGCCAGAAGTCGACCAGTACTTCTATCAGACGCCGCCCTCAGATGGAGAGATCTTCCTGAAAATACGCGAAAACAAAGGCCCTGGCCAAGTTGATATCGCTAAACTCTGGCGCTTGAAGTTGAGCAGTTATAAGCAGAAAGTTTTGGGCACCGTTGAGCGGCAATCAGGCCTGCTCGAGAAGTTAGATCAACTACGTGCCTTCCCCGGTCTCTGGAACGGCTTCCAGTTGGGCAATATAGAGAAGCATCTGAAGCTGCACACCCCTGAAGAAGTTTCGCACTACCTTCAACATGTGCACAAGACCTGGCAGTTGATTACCCTGGACGATCCCACGATACAAAAAGCAACAGATTTTCAAACTGTCAAGCGATTGGAACTACTTGCGCCAGCTATTTTTTCAGCTGATGGTGCAGAAGTACGGAGGTTGATCAGCGACGGGACGCTCTTCCCAAGCGTCTCGGCACCGAGTGTACGGGCCAGGATACAAGATGCGATGCTTCAGATTGTCGGCTTAATTCCCAGCATCACGACTTTCCATCAGAACATGATGTTATTGAGTATCGTTGCGAAGATCTTGCGAAGGCATATCGTCGGTGATGCAAGAAGTGGATCGCTACGCTCTGCTATGATGGGCTGCTGGCAGGCACCGGAAAAGATGCTCATAGAGGAAGCCGAGAACTCTTTCTATAAGCTCCATTTCCCACCGTCCTTCGACCTAGCATACCGCCAAGTCTTCATGTCAGCCCTACGCCACTTTTCACGCCTCTCAGTTGTAGGCCCTCGTTGTGAGAGAGGCCAAAGTATGAATGCGGCCATGGTTGACGATCAATACTTGGCCCAATTCTTGCGCGGAGCTTGGAAGCAAGGTTTCCGCTCGGTAAAGATTGAGGCCACACTTGCAAAGTTGCGCGACTGCCTGCCTCCGCAAGCAAAGGTAGACCCAGGAGCCCCTAGCCCTGAGAAAGCACTCGAACGGAGATCCGGCAGGCCGTTCTCAAACTCAGCCGCTGTATTGTCGTCGTCATTCTTTCTGCCCAATACCTTCACTGCAGAACAAAGCGAATACCCTTCCACCATTTTCGTTCTGGAGGACTTCATGCGTTCCTTTTTCGAGGGAGGATCTTCGGAGATGCGTCCTATCGCCACGGCGGTACGGGAGCACGAGCAGTCCTATGCTCCAAGCTCAAGGACTGCGCAGGAGACTGGAGAACATTGTGATATGGAAATCACTCGATACAGTCCGGCGGCTGAGAGCTCAGACTCTCAACCCACTCAGTTGGCGACGCGCCTCCGTCGTCTTGCAATGGGTCGCGGATTTCAGACCGCACTGCAGTCCCCGCAGAGCATTGACGCAGGTCTTCATCAACAATCTCGTCCTCTCCCACTTTACATACGACAGTCTCCAGACTCGTCCACATATCCAAGCAGCCCGGAAACGTCTGTGACTAGCACAAGCATGTCGTTTGCCACACGTTCTCTGATCTCTCCAGGAGATATGCTCCCCAGCCATGCCGGAGTACGGCAAGCTACGTTACGGGTGCTACAGGGACACAGTGGACAGAGCAGAAGTCAATCAGCCGGTAGCGTGTCCGCAGACACTGACATAATACGGACTCTCTTCGCTCCAAAGGACTTGCGATTTGGTAGAAGAGCATAAGCAGACATGCGATAACGGATTTTGGAGGAATGGATATACTTGACCAAGAGCGGCTTCATGGTCTACGATCGACGGAGAATGTTTGTGCGCCAATCATCACAAGCGCAATGATGTATAAACACCGCAAATGGAACTTGAAATTATATTCTGCAATGTCGCCTTTATACTGAATCGCCTTTATACTGCAACCTGCACAATTCCTAAGCTGGAGAGTAGTGGAAGATGTTTCATTTTATCAGTAGAGCTTTTGGGGGGGGGGGGGGCAAGTGAACGGGGCAGTGACTGGTAGAGTCTGCTAGTAAAATGCAGTGGCATTTTACTGGTAGAGATTCCTATCTTTTAGGCTTGTCTACTCGTAGAATCTATGGGCTGTCTACTAGTCAGGTCTGCAGAACAGGCTGTCCTCTAAATGTCAGGACTCTACTAGTAGTAGACGACCCCAGAATTCTACTAGCAGCCAAAACATACTAGTAGAATTGTTGTGCGCTGTCTACGGGGGGGATCCTAGGCGCAGTCCACTGGTAGACCTGAGGCCTATCTAGATCCAAAATCAAACCACGAAATCCAACCACGAAACCCAACAGCCACGAAATCCAACAGCCACGGAACTCCAGCCACGAAATCGAGCCCCGAAATCGAGCCCCGAAATCGAGCCCCGAAATCGAGCTACGAAATCCAACTCGAAATCCAACCCCGAAATCCAATTACGAAATCCAACTACGAAAGCAAGTACGAAAGCAAGCACGAAAGCAAGTACGAAAGCAAGTACGAAAGCAAGCGCGAAATCCAAATCCAAGCACAAAATCTGTCAGGGTAAAAAGGGCACACAAGTGAGGTGAAAGGGTGTGAGCTGCTCCTGAGTCGCTCTGTTGACGCTTCCATTCAAAGGGACTACTGAACCTATCTCCCTCCTCCTCTTTTTCGCTGCTGGACCTGTTGTTCCCCTTTCCCTTATGTACACAATTGGCCTGGACTAGATAAGATAACAATGGCCTGATGGCCACGCTGGCATCGTACGAGAGCGCTGCTCCAGAGCAGAGCCCTCACCGGGGTCCCAGACCGCCACTGGGGAATGCAAGGGCCACCCATTTCCGCCGTGCGCACACAAGCCCTGACAAAATCCAAGCAAGCACGAAAGCAAGCACGAAATCCAAGTACGAATCCCAGGCACGAATCCAGGCACGAATCCAGGCACGAATCCAGGCACGAACTACTAAACAAACCGCACTGGCGAACTGGGTATGCGACGACCGACAAAGCACCGTGAACACTACCCAATTCAGGGAATCAAAATTGAAATAATATGTCTAAATGCCATTTCTCGCATTACTTGAACACAACCATATTACTATCATCCCTGGCTATAGCATGTGAAAATTCAGTTTCATGAGACTTTCCCTTGTCCTCCTTGAAATCCGTTGGTGTTCTTTTAATAGGAAGAGGATAGCTTTGGTCCTGAAGACAATCAGCTTTTATCCACAGGGCAGCTCATTATATTAACTTACAATATCCTGACTACCGGGTCTAAACGAGGGCGAAGAACAGTATTCAAAATACCGCCCGTACTTTGTGCAGAAGTAGATATCGATGTGGTATTTTTTTCGCATGCTATCCATTCTTCTCATCAAACTCCGGAGACTTTTCGAGAAGTTCTCATTCGTTCTATCTCGAATTCTTTTCCGAGCAGTCACTGTCTTTGGTATTCCCACAGAAGCTGGGGTTGAGAGCGGAAGGCAGGGAGTCATTCCGAAGAAAAAGCTGTGGTCAGGGGTTACCGTCTAGAAGGTGGGGGGGGGGGCTAACAAAGCTAGTGGATAAATTGGTAGGAGCTACTATGCTACCAGCCAGGAATTGGGTTTTTTAATAATTCATTTTCAAGCAGCCCACGTTGATTCGATTTAAAATAAAGGCGCAATTTTAAAGAGACGACTTTTAGATAACAACTTTTAGTAAGCAGTTTTCGGTAGATAGTTCTTAGCAAACGTTCATCTATAAACAGTTCCTGATCGTTTCGCAGTTGCGCGCATGGATGACGTCTTCATGGGTGGGGCTAAAATTAGCGGAAATAGTGGCCCGTCAAGCCGATCTGGTTGCTAAATTTAGAAAACTGCCTCTAAAATTAAACTTGGACAAAGCAAAATTAAATTGGGTAATGTGCATTCCTAAGAAATCTGATTTACGGCCTGCAAGCGATACCAGATAGGTGATTAAAGCGAAACCTGAGCAGAGTGTCTGCTTTATACCAACTGAGAAAATCTACGCTTTCTTCCTTGGTCGTTTTGCCGCAGCCCCTCCTTGCAGCGAGCTCTGTGGGGTGGCAAGATGTGGCGCCGCTGGGGCTACCGAACTCTGGCTGGACGTTGCTGCGGACAGGCTTTCCATGCCCTGGGACAGACCGGTCTCAGGCAGCGGGTCGACGGTAAAGTCGATGTCGGGCGGGATCTGATCGATCGCAGCGCGAATTCTCGCAAAGTGCGATGGCATCCAGAGATCGTAGACATTCTTGGTAAAGCGGTAGGCAGTCCACTTCTCCCTGCCATCCAGCTCTACGAAGCTGAACTGGCGGATCGGATGGCGGTAGTACTTGACCTCCTTCCCTTCTATGACAGGATAGTAGCCGTAGATCCGCACAGCCTGATGGTCGTGCGAGACAGAGAAGCTGAGGATCTGCCGGTCGACCTCGGCCTCTCGTCCCACAAGTCGGAAGAGCTCAAAGACTGCCCGTGCGGCCATCGCCATGCTGTGGGCGTTCTGCCGGTCGGCCACGTCGAGCGCCGCCGCGCTGCACTTGACCTCGCACGCGAGGAACGGGAAGAACATGTAATACGTGGCCATGAAGAACGACTGGTCGCCGCCAAGCCAGTTGCCGATGAACGGCGCGAGCTTGGCCAGTTGGTCGTCCGAGAAGGCCTTACGCCGGAAGCCAACAGAGTAGTCGGGCTGCGGGCGAGTCTTGGTCAGAGGGACCGAGTTGTTCCAGCCTTCGTTCGTGCTCTCAATCAAACATTCAAGCTCTGTCGCACCGTAGGTAGCAAGGACCTCCGCAGAAGGCACAATCAGCTGAGAGATGTCCCGTATGACCCTGGTTTCGTTCCGGTCTTGGAATTTGCGGCAGGTCGCCTCGAAAATATCATCCCGAAAAAGCGAGTTCTGAGGAGGCTCCTGCGCCTCTTCAAGGAGAGTGTTGCAAAGGTTCTTGCTAGCATCCGCAATACCTACAGGCGACTTGTCCATAAAGGCACCCTTGGTTGCAAGTAAGGTTTTGTAGCGCACATCATTATAGTCGGCACTCTTCTCCTCTCTCGGCTTCTGGTCGCTGGGGGTTACGGACGAAGCCGAGCTGGACCGTTTTCGGCCTAGCGAGGGAGTCGATCTGTTTCTTGCAAGCAAATGATCCATGTCAAGGCAAGCTTCGAAGTATTTCTGCGGCCAGCGTCGTTCTCGTACCCAGAAGTCAAGTATGTCGCGCCAGTCCTCGTCGGTATCGTCTGTTGCCTCTTCACCGAGAGATTCCTGCGAGATGGACTCGACAGGGCCGGGCCGGTGACGCGTGCGTATAGTCTCGTCTGGATCGAGCTCGGGCAGAGTGACTTCGCGCCACCGCTTGTGTCCTGTACAGGGCTGTTCCGGATGAAATTAGCTGAGATTCCAGCACGTGTTACCTGTGGACTTTGCGATATAACATACTATGAATGAGTCTATTGCAGGGTCCACAGATGGTAGTATCTTTAGGGCTCGAGGCGGGCTATTTGTCGCCTGGCGCGCTCGTTTTGCGCGCTGCTCGTCCGCGACTGCAGTGTCTGCACCACGTTTTCGGCGGCGTGCTTGCGGCGGGGGCTGGGACGGGGTACTGTCTGCGAGACGATGCTGTCGAACTCTGTCGCTACGCCGAAGGCGCTCTATATTCATTAGCTGACAATCGTAGATCAACGCGGCCCCCTCCTGCTATGAGCGGGACCTCTGCACAATGTTCTTACCTTTGTCTGGTTGTAGGCAATGTTCCTGGAGTGGTTTTGGGCTCGCGAGGTTCGCAACCTGCGATGCCATGGATGGAAAGGATTGATGTGGGTTGGGAGGAGGAGTATGTAGTGATGGGCGAGGTGGAGAGGGGCGTTCGGGCACGAAGCTTGTTGCGCCTAAGGTGTGATTCTTCCAAGGCATGCATCTCGGGCTTGGCGGATTCGGTGGGCGCCTAAATGGTTGGCTGGGGAGCGACAGACGCCAACAGCTTCCGCGCTTCAGTGCAGTACAAGCATTCGAAGAACCCACTATTTGCCGCCTGGTTGCTTAGTACCAGGCCACAGTAGCCGCCAACACGTCCTGCATGTGTGTTCCCATTACTAATAGACCATCACCAGATACGAAGCTTTACTAGCAAACATCTACTCACAAAACCAAAATTATTCAATAGTTTTAATAGTTATTTGAACACTCCCTTGACTAGTAAAAATCTATGAATAAGAATATATAACCAGAACCGCTTCCTACCACAGTGTTACTGGTCCCGCTGACCGGGCAAAGAGCTTGCTGTCTTGGTAAATGCACGTGACTCCACTTATAGTAAGCGTGGGGATCATGGTACTGAGACGCGCACACAGCGTCACGTAATAGACTTGATCGCTAGTGATATTGGAGCATCGCTCAAAACTAGCTCTTGTCTCGTTCGCCTTGAATGCCTTGAATGCCTCGCTCGCCTTGTACGCCTCCCTCGCCTTGTACGCCTCCCTCGCCTTGTACGCCTTGCTCGCCTTGTATGCCCTGTACACCGCGCAAGCATTAGCTTTCTGCAGTGCAATAATACTGTTTCATGACTTCCCAACTCATAGTCTCTTCCAATATGACAGTCCATCAGTGAGCCTCCACCTCGATTCTGAGTCTTCCTCCAGCCCCTAAGCCCAAACCTCTTTCACCTTGTTCACCTCGCATGCCTCGCTCCCCTTGTATACCTTGTGCCCCTTGTATGCCTTGTTCACCTTGCATGCCTTGTTCACCTTGCATGCCTTGTTCACCTTGTACTCCTCGCTCGCCTTGTATGCCTCGCTCGCCTTGTGTGCCCTGTACACCTGGAGGTCCTGGGGGTCCTGGAGGTCCACACGCGCCAGCCGCTCCAGGCGAAAGATGTTCAACACCACGAGCATAGCGTCTTCCGCAAGTAGGACAAACCCGTGTCCGCGCACCTGGAGACACAGCCTGCTGGCGCCTGGTCTGTCGGAAGCATTGTATCCACATATAGAAGAGGCACAGACAACCGAGACCACTGCTCAGAAAGACACCGAAAACGACAAGCGCGGTTTGGGCAGAATCGCTATTGGACCCCATTTAGACGAATGCTCGGGTGCACGCGTGCTTCATTTGTCCACATCAGCAAAGCTCCGAATCTAGTTGAGTATTGTTCTGTAAAGCTGGGGTGGCTCTGACAGAGTTTAGGCACCTCTCCTGTGGGGTTTCATATGGCCTTGTGAAGATTCCACAAGCCGCTACACAGTTTAATCAGTAATGGATCATCTTCCCTCCTACCATTTGTGAACCACCATAGTGTGCCTTCCACACTTCTATTAGATATTTCTCCTATTTCTGATGACTCCTTCTAGTTGAACAAATAGTTTCTCATGCAATGGCTCCTCCCTTTTCACCATCCCGCGGACCGTGGCTCACGTCCGAACAGATATCCTTTTATAGAGACACAGCATTCAAGTGGTATTACAATGCCAAGGTCGACCAAGAAGAAACGCCTATCTTCATAGAGATGAAGCTGCGATTGGATCAAATGGAACACATATTGAAGGTAATTCTTTCAAAAGTAGTACGTAATTAGTCGCATTCATATTATTGAGCGCTGCTTACTCTAATGATAGGCAGACTCTGAGGCAGATGCTGCAACGCTCGAAGCCTTCACACTGAGCCAGCGAGAAGCTGAAAAATAAGACAAATGTGCTCATTAGACGGATATAACTGGGCTGGAACTCGATATTGTGTTTCAGATCTGGTAGCATTCTTTCATGCTTTTTACAAGTCAGTGAGGATGATTGGCTTGAGTATTTGCATGGATTCTTCTATGAAAGTGTACTAATATTTGGGGGTATAATATGTCCAAAGATTTTAAGTGCTTGGGCGTCAATGGCAAACACTTCGTAAGAATGTACAGACCCCTCGAAGCCTCGACGAGCCCCTTCAACAGCCATCATGTGTGATGAGCCAGTGGTTCAGCCAGAACTAGTGCTCAGGGAGAACACAGACCTGAAGATAAACTAAAGATATATAAATGATTGGATTAGGGATTGTTTACGCAGAGAGTTTCGATGATTTCCTCACAGATAACAAGTTATTTATGTCCTAGAATGGTTGAACGATTCTTTCATTGGAATTATCTAAAGAATATGCTAAGCTGAAATATTACTATGCTGATCGCCTATCAGATACTCTTCTTCCTCAACATTACCACGACTGATACATATCAAACAAAAAGGCAACACACAAATCTGAATCTGATAAAACTCTTCATATGTGTAAGAGTTATAACGTGGACAAACAAAGAAAGCCCAGAATCCGAAAGGATCTCGTATACTCCACAACTACTATCTGATTTCTGTTTCAACATATAGTAGCATAGGTCGCATGGATTATGCTGTTGTGGTACTCGTGGCTCTACCACAGGATATCATGGTTGTACATGATGCTGGATTAGCAACCCCTGTCTGGGAGCATACTACACAATCTTTCGTCCATGTCTCTCCGATCGCAAGCAGGCTTGTTTGACTCGGAGCGTCTGTGTAGTCGCAGGATGGTACAGCAAAAGTGCTTGATCCTGATGTATACACGGGCAGCGGATACGTAATTGTTCCGCTGCAGACACATCCATCTTGGCTGATGCCCGTATCAGGACTCACAGCTTGGTAAGTGCAGGGGAGGCTGCTTGCTGTTATATCTGCAGCTGACATCGGAGGAGTGGATTCTGCCGAGGATGCTGTGAGCAATGATGTTACAGGCGAGGCTCGAACTGCGGGCGATATTCCGCTTTTAGCTGTATACTGGATCGCAGATGTTGATAAAGGGAGCTTAGAGGAGACTGAAAATCCATAGGATTGGGTGATTGGTTGGGCTGTGGAAAATGACGAAGAAGATCCGGCATAGTCCTTGGAATTGTTGGATTGAACTGCTGACTGAATTGAGGATAAGGTCGAAAGGGGCACAGAGCCTGTCCGGCCCCCGGATCCAGATATAAATGGGTAGGTAGACTGCGAAAGAGACTGCTGCTGGCTGCGGGAGATTGATGTCGAATACAGCTTTGTTCCAGAACTTCTCGGCGCGCCTCCATAAATAACCACAGAAGCACAGGTTTCATTGCCAGCACACCACCTAGTTTGTTAGCCCCAGTGCACCAGTAAAGAAAGGAAAAGCTTTCAGTATACGAACCAAGCAATATCTGCATCCCCATTGGGAGCATCATAAGGGATTATAAAGTGTGCGAGGCCAGGTGGGTCACTGGCCCCACTATCGCCAGCCAACCTAGCTATAGCTCTAGTATTATGACCCATTCAACATGCAGGTCGCGGAACGGACCCGCCAAACAAAGAGCCAGGTGTCACAACCCAACGTCGGATAACCACGGTGATTACGTAATCCAGAACAAGGATTACAGCAGAAATGGATCATTGGATTATTAGATGATCCAATGAGCCTGGATCACTTGGATTGCTAATAATCCAGGATGAGCTATAATGAAAAGCTGGATATATAAGAATATATTCATTACTGTTGGATAAATTTAGTATATAGCTCTTCAGTTATTAATCTAAGTATCAGATTATTCTTCTACTATAATGAGCACTGCAGTAATCCGAAGATTCCAAAGTACACAAGGGGTTTATGCTAACAAGAGCAGTGCTAAGTATAAGCCTTGAATACGGAAATACAACTGAGTAATCGTACAAGTATTCACTGCTTTTAGGGCTATCAGAATAAGAGAGTAATCTGATACTTAGATTGATAACTGAAGAGCTATATACTGAATCTATCTAATGGTAATGAATGTGTGATTATATATTCAGCTCTTCAGTATGAATATATTGAATAGCAATATATTCAAGTTATTCTGCTAGCTCTGAATAGCATATATTCAAAGCTATTCTTTCTGATTAGTTATATTTATAATTCTAATTCTGAATTATATAATTAATACTTTATTATAAATATTAAGTTCTTAATATCTGATTCTTATTACTTATAATCTGTTTCATAATCTGTATATTAGATGAATTATAACATTATCTTTCTTCTATCAGTTATTATTCTCAATAATCTTTTATAAGTATTCTAGCAAGTTTTTCATATGCATAATCTTGCTTTCCTAATTGAGATATTGAACAGAATTAACAAATCTTATTCTCGTGCTAAGAAGACTAAACAAAAGAATTCTCTTCTTTCTTTGATTCTTACAAATGCTGTTATCATGCCTTTCTATTCTTTCTGCAAGAGTTGTAGTATTCAGTTTTATTAAGTCTCTATTGAGAATTTTGTCAGGTGGAAAGGTTGCAAAGGCAATGTGGCGAGGTCTTTCTCTCTTTCAGGGGTATACAACCAGAATAATATTGAGGCCTAAGGAGCTAAGTTCTGCTCAGCAGTGCTGATGTGGCTAGAAAGCCGCTTTATAGCCGCATATTGCTTAGTCATCCGTAATCCAGCTGGCTTAGCTGGCTCTGAGCCTTGCTGGCACAATCGGCCCTGACAGATTGTCCCCCCTTATCAGGCCTTGTCCTCAAGGCCTTTGAGGCTTCCAAGCTTTCGTTGCTTCCAGGCTTCCGTTGCTCTCAGGCTTCCGTTGCTTCCAGGCTTTCGTTGCTCCCAAGCTTCCGTTGCTTCCAGGCTTTCGCTGCTTCCAGGCTTTCGCTGCTTCCTAGCTGCTCCTACGCCTTCTCAATGCTTCAGGCTCTTAAGATCTCTCAGTGCTTCAGGCTTCTCAAAGCTTCTCAAGATCCCTCAGTGCCTCAGGTTTCTCAAAGCCTCTCAGATCTCTCAGTGCCTCAGGCCTCTCAAGGCCTCTCAAGATCTCTCAGTGCCTCAAGCCTCTCAAGGCTTCTCAAGATCTCTCAAGGTCTCTCAGTGCCTCAGGCCTCTCAAGATCTCTCAGTGCTTCAGGTTTCTCAAAGCCTCTCAAGATCTCTCAGTGCTTCAGGCCTCTCAAGGCCTCTCAAGGTCTCTCAGTGCCTCAGGCCTCTCAAGGCCTCTCAAGGTCTCTCAGTGCCTCAGGCCTCTCAAGGCCTCTCAAGATCTCTCAGTGCCTCAGGCTTCTAGGCCACTCAAGGTCTCTCAAGATCTCTCAGTGCCTCAGGCCTCTCAAGGCCTCTCAAGGTCTCTCAGTGCCTCAGGCCTCTCAAGGCTTCTCAAGGTCTCTCAGTGCCTCAGGCCTCTCAAGGCCTCTCAAGATCTCTCAGTGCCTCAGGCTTCTAAGCCACTCAAGGTCTCTCAAGATCTCTCAGTGCCTCAGGCTTCTAGGTCACTCAAGGTCTCTCAAGGTCTCTCAATGCCTCAGGCCTCTCAACCATCTCCCTCCTTCTCTTCTGGCTTCGTCCCCGAAGCCTGTGAAAAAAAATCTCTTTTTAATCACATTTCAGACATAAGTCTTCCGAGTGCAATACCCGCGCTATATACGCTGCTCAGTCGCTGCTCCCTCAGCACTTTATCCAGGCACTCTTCAGAACTTAAAGCTGTTTAATATAGATTACAAGCCTTCCACCAGAGACTTGGTTTGCAGCCAAGAAGCCCAGCATCCAGAACAGCATCCCTGCAGCTATAACGGATAATTATAGCTTTCCGTTTTGAGAGTTGCTCTCTAGCAACTCTGAAGCTATTACTACGCTTCGCTCCACCGCTAAGCGCAGAAGAATAATTAGTTTGCAATCTAATATCCAAGCAACTTCAGTTGCCAAGCAGATACTCCGCTTCAGCTCTGCACTCTTGCTCAAATAGCAAAGAGCACACTCTCGAAAACAGAAGATACTCAGATCTACTGCTTGCTTACTCTGCTCTCTCGCTCGAATAGCGAAGAATATACTCTCGAAAACAGAAGATACTTAGATCTACTGCTTGCTTACTCTGCTCTCTCGCTCGAATAGCAAAGAATATATTCTCGAAAACAGAAGATACTCAGATCTACTGCTTGCTTATTCTGCTCTCTCGCTCGAATAGCGAAGAATACACTCTCGAAAACAGAAGATACTTAGATCTACTGCTTGCTTACTCTGCTCTCTCGCTCGAATAGCGAAGAATATACTTTGTTCTAGCTTAGCAACTCGAATGCTCTGAATCTCTTCTGAATGCTTCTTGCATGCTGCTTGCATACTGCTTGCTCGCTATTTGCTCTAGCTTAGCAACTCGAATGCTCTAAATCTCTTCTGAATGCTTCTTGCATGCTGCTTGCATACTGCTTGCTTGCTATTTACTCTAGCTTAGCAACTCAAATGCTCTAAATCTCTTCTGAACGCTTTTTGCATGCTGCTTGCATACTGCTTGCTTGCTGTTTGCTCTAGCTTAGCAACTCGAATGCTCTGAATCTCTTCTGAACGCTTTTCGCATGCTGCTTGCATACTGCTTGCTCAACACTGCTTGCTCGCTGTATGCTCTAGCTTAGCAACTCGAATGCTCTGAATCTCTTCTGAACGCTTCTCGCACGCTGCTTGCATACTGCTTGCTTGATACTGCTTGCTTGCTGTATGCTCTAGCTTAGCAACTCGAATGCTCTGAATCTCTTCTGAACGCTTCTCGCATGCTGCTTGCATACTGCTTGCTCGCTGTTTGCTCTAGCTTAGCAATTCGAATGCTCTGAATCTTTTCTGAATGCTTCTTGCACGCTGCTTGCATACTGCTTGCTCGCTGTTTGCTCTAGCTTAGCAACTCGAATGCTCTGAATCTCTTCTGAACGCTTCTTGCACGCTGCTTGCATACTGCTTGCTCAGCACTGCTTGCTCGCTGTATTCAAGGCTCGAAAGCTCGAAAATCGAAGGCTCGAAGGTTAAAAGCTCGAAGATTAAAGGCTCGAAGGTCAAAGGCTCGAAGGTTCGAAAAGAATAGTGGTTTGATCGTTTGCTCTGCTCCTGCTCAGTGTTAGCGCTGCTCCTAGGGAAGAAAAAAAAAAAAGATAGAAAGCCTCGCCGGATTGCCTCCTTTAAAAGGGCCAGGCCTCAAACTGTCAGGTGGAAAGGTTGCAAAGGCAATGTAGCGAGGTCTTTCTCTCTTTCAGGGGTATACAACCAGAATAACATTGAGGCCTAAGGAGCTAAGTTCTGCTCAGCAGTGCTGATGTGGCTAGAAAGCCGCTTTATAGCCGCATATTGCTTAGTCATCCGTAATCCAGCTGGCTTAGCTGGCTCTGAGCCTTGCTGGCACAATCGGCCCTGACAAATTTCTTCTATTGTGCTGAATGTATTCGCTTGAGCTGCTTTCAGTGCAATATTCAGAGGCTGAATGTAGCAGAAATTCATTGGATAGACATTCAATACTAATGCTTGGAAAACTAATTCAAGAGTGCTAAGGAGCAGCTGCGCAATGCTGCTGCAGAAGTAGAATGTTTGCAGAAGCAAAAGCGTTTGTAGTTTGAGAGGATGATAAAAGCTGTTCGTTGAAGCTTTTCTAGTATAAAGAAGCTAGATGTTATGACTCATCCAACATGCAGGTTACGAAACAGGTTACAAGTAACAAGAATCAGATGTTAAGAATCCAATGTTCTAACAAAGCATTGATTACATAATTCAGAATTAGAGTTATAAAGAAAGAAGGATTGCTAGTGTTGTGGTGGCCAGGGTGGTAGTCCGTGGGACATGGAGTACAGTGGGTTAAGAATCCTTATACATATAAAGAATATCTGTAATGAGCACTGCAGCAATCCGAAGATTCCAAAGTATACAAAGGGGATTTATGCTAACAAGAGCAGTATCAAAATGCTAAGTTCTTGAATACGGAACTGTACAAGTCTCAATAAGCAATGCAAGTATTCACTGCTTTTAGAGCTATCAGAGTAGAGAATAATCTGATACTTAGATTAACAACTGAAGAGCTATATACTGAATTCATCTACTAGTAATGAACATATTCTTATATATTCAGCTTTTCAGTTCTAACTAATCTAACTATATTATAATTCTTTATAATTATCTCTCTGAATATATTAATTATATTCATAGCTAATATAGTTGCATTAGCAATTCTAATCCGGATTATATAATTCTGATTAGTATCTAATATTGAATTATAATATTTGATTTCTTAGTTAGTAAGGCTTATTTTGTAATCTGCATATTAAATGAATTATAATATTATTTTCTTCCTATTAGTTATTATTCTTAATAATCTTCTATAAGTATTCTAGCAAATTCTTTGTATATATAATCTTGCTTTCCTAATTGAAATGTTGAATAGAATTAACAGATCTTGTATTTGCAAACCTTCTTCCGTTTCAAAGAATATCCGAGATTGAGATCTCTTGGTTTCCTGCTTCTTGGAAAATTTTATCGAGATGCTTATCTGTTCTTATTGCAAGAATTGTAATTTCGGATTCTGCAAGATATCTTTCGAAAACTCTTCTCATTGTATCGAATGCATTCGATTAAACTATTCTAAGTGTAATATTATAAGCTCTTCTTTCGAGAAGCTTTGCAATATTATTATTTAATATTAAAAGTTGGAAAATGAGATTAAGAAAAGAAAAATTAAGCTTCTTTATTTATGCTAATAGAAGCAGATATAGTTTAAGAAGATGAAATATACTTTGTATTATAGTATTACTTATATAGAGAAATTGGATTGTATAAAAGCTGAGAAAGCTGAAGCTGAGAGAGTGCATATTGCTGCTGAAGTATAGGCTGTAGCAGCAGAGGAATCTGTTATTGTAGCTGAGAATTCTTCCTTTAAAAGTTTTGATTGAAACTCTGTAGATTTGAGAGATTCTGTAGTAGATTAGTTGAGCTTTCTAGAGAGTGAGATTTTCAAAGCTTCTGAGTTTCGGTTTGGGATGGAGTGATTGTTTTAGATACTAGTTTCCTTTCTTTTCTAATATTCAGCTATTCTTTCTTGAGCATTCTTAATATTCTTCTGTAATTTCCATGAATTTTTGCTTGCTGAGTAATCTTTTTATTTGATGAGATATTCCTTTGTATTATTTATGCTTCTATACTTAAGGATTTTTTCTATCTTATATTCTAGTTCGTTATTCTCTACTTCTACTATATTGTTTATAAGTATTTCCTATGCTGCTAGTTCTAATAATAAGATATGAAAAACTGGATATATTCTTATTTCATAAGATAATACTAATTCGTAATTAATTGGGAAAATCTATTGCAAGATTTTAAATAGTTCCAACTTTTTGTAATTAAGTTTATTGCTAGATCTGATTATTTTAATGTTTTTTCGAAGTAGATAAGCTTTATTTTCCTTCTATAGGATTAATCTTTCAATTCTTTTAAAGTTTGCATAATATGCTATTTATTTCTGAATGAATTATAATTCTGATTGGAATTCTTTCTGAACTTTCTTGATCTTCTTAACTTTTTTGTTTGCAGCTTCTGCATCTGCTTCCAGCAGTACTTTATAATAAGCTATTAAATTATATTTATAGAATATAAAGAATAGCGATTTCTTCATTGTATTTATATTTATGCTATTATAAGCGAATTATGCGAGAAGCAATAGATTAATCTAGTTATTCTGTTTCTAATTAATATAATATTAAAGATACTATTCAACAATCTGATTTATTCTTTCTATCTGTTCATTTATCTGCAGATAAAATGCTATAAACATTCTGTAGTATGTTTCAAGCTATTTCATAAGTAAAGTTTAAAATTTTAAATTAAACTTTCTATTTTTATTAGAGATTATTTCTTCTAGCATGCTATAATTAGCAATGATTATTCTGAGAAATGCATATATAAGTTCTTCTGCTATACTGCTTTTCTTATAGGAAAGAAAGTAAATATATTTGCTTAATTTGCAAATTACTACTAGAATGCTATTATATTGCATCTTAATTAAGAGTTCTTATAAGAAAGATAGCTTAATAATAAAGTTTAGACTAATGAATTGCTAAATAGTTATAGATACTAATAAGAAATGCAATAGTTTATAAAGCTTGTATCTTTCTGCTTTGTTCTTTTTGCAGCTATTGTATTATTATAGAATATTCCTAATTCTTTTTCTAAAGCTTAATAAATTTCAGTATTTTTTAATATATTTGTAAATTGCTTTAACTTTCTGATATTTATATGCTGATATATTATATATATTCTTGATATAGTTATTTTGTTCGTTTGGAGTTATTGATTCTAAGTTTTTTCCTAAAGATCTAATTCTGAAAGCAGCATTTAATTCTCTGTGCACATTAACAAGATTTTCCAACTTGTCTTAAGCAAAGATGTTCTGTATATCTGAGGAATTTGTATCTTGATAGTCTAATCTTCTACTAAGAGCATTTGCTTATTCGTTTTCTGAGCTTTTGCAGTATACAATCTTAAAATTGAACTATAAGAGGAATTCTGCTTATTTGATTTATTACTTATTCAAAACTTTGATTATTATGAATATAGTTAGATTCTTATAATCTGAATAAATTATAATTAAGTATTATATACTAATAAGATAGTATTGCTACTTCTTGAAAGCTTTTACTATTGCTATAAGCTCTTGATTAGGAATTCTGTAGTTGATTTCTAAGCTGTTTAACTTCTTTAAGAAGTTGCTTATAATCCTTAAATGTTCTTAGTTATCTCGCTAACCAAGTTGTTCTCTGAGTATATATTCTAATATATTAGTTTTAATTTTAAAAGGTTTATAGAGATCTGCTTTATATAGAATTAGCTCTGAGATAATATACTTGATGATTTTATTGAAAGCTTCTTATGCCTTAGGAATTCATTTGAAGAGCTGCTTCTTTTTGATAAGATTTGTAAGAGAATATACGATTCAGCTGTAGTTCTTAATAAACTGCTTATAGAAGTTAATATATCTGAGGAAAAATCTAATATTTCTAATATTTCTGAGAACTAGCTAATTTCTAATAGCTTCTATTTTATCTTTCTATAGCTTAATGCATTCTAGCTTGATTATGAATCCGAGATAGTTAATCTTTTGTATATAAAAGTGATTCTTTGCAGGTTTTATAAGAAGTTTTGCATCTTGGAATGTTTGCAATACTATTTTTATATATTTCTTATATTCTTCAAGTATTCGAGAATAGATAAGAATATTATTAAGATAAGTAATAATGAACTGATTCAGATACTTATATAGAATATAATTGATTATTTTCTGAAATAAAGCTGAGATATTTGTTAAATCAAAGAGTATAACTAAATATTTATAGTATTCGTAGCATATTCTGAAAGCAGTTTTCCATTCTTCTTCTTCTTTTACTTTAATTAGATTATAAGCTTCTTTTAGATCTAAAACTATAAATCATTATACTCCTTGCAGCTTATCTCGTAATTTCTTAATAAGTAGCAATAAATATTAGTTCTTAATTATAATATTATTAAATTGCTTATAATTAATATATAGCTTAAGCTTGCTATTTTTTTTAAATATAAATAAGATGAGATATTCTGCTAATAATTGCAATAATTATATATATTCTTTCTTAAGATTCTTATCGAGATACTTCTTGAGTATTTCTAGCTATACTTTGTTTAGTCTGTAAATAAAGAAGAATTTGAGCTATTTTCCTTCTTATAGCGGAATCTTGTAATTGTATAAGCTGTATTCTAGCAATTCTGTATTCAATTCTTTCTGAAACAGTTTCTTGAACTTATAATATTCTTATAGTATATTCGCAAGTATTAGTTCTGATTCTTATGCTGTTTCTGCTATCTGAAGGAATAGTAGGTATTGTTGAGCGTGCTTCTTTTCGTTCGTTGTTTTTAGCAACGTTTTTAAGAGCTTTAAGCATTCGCTCCGAGCTAAACTGAGCGCTTAAGAGCCTGGTTTCGAGATTTTTCCTGTATGGATTCATAATTCACATTCTGAAGCTTTTCCTTATTGCTTTAAAGCGAACTAACTTGCTGAGAATCTTGCTTTTATTATTTTGCTAACTTGTTAGCGCTCTAGCATTATTTGAGTTCGCTTATTACTAAATTCTTCTTCTTAAACTACTAGCTCTGCTAACTTGGAAGTATATATAAAGTTATATAAAGCTTCTTTTTCTAAGTATTCTCTAATTACTAGCTTCAATCCTGCGCTATTAATTATAACTATTTCTCTGAGTATAGCTTGTTTCCATGAGATCTAACCAGTAATCCAATCGATTCGAGAATTGTGCTTCTTGAGCTATAGAAGCTTCATAATTAGCTTATACTATGCTGTATTCATGATATCAAAAGAAGCTCTAATTATATATTCTTGGATTGAGATAGATAGATGATTAGTTTTCTTATCGATTACTTCTTGATTATATATAACAGATTATTCTTCTATAATACTGAAAGTATATAAGCATCTCTTTCATTTTCATTATAGTTATGCTTAATTAATGATATATGGAAATATGAAGTTTCTCTAAGCACTATTGTTTAATAATATGCTATATTTATATTCTTGAATGTATATATTAAACTTAATATAAGCATAATTTGTTCTAAAAGCTTTATATAAGAACTGTTTCAATTTAATTATTTATAGTTTCTTTATAAGCAATTTTGTTCTTTTGAGTTTATTAAGAACTATTTATTCTTTTGAGTCTACTTTGCTACTTCTTAAGTAAGCTTCTTAGCTTACTTTTATTCATATCATTATTATTCCTAGTCTTTCTTTTATTAATGCTAGTTACAAATCTTATTATTAATATAAATTATACAGAATATTGTTTTGTACTGCTACTATTTTATTTTCTTATTTATGCATTGCATAAAGCAGTTATCTAGTAGCTTGATATATGCATTGTAGTACTATCTGTTAAGAATCTTCCTAAAGCGGAATTTCTATTCTTCAATAGCTTGAAGAATTTATTCTGATTTTCTGATAAAGAATCATTTATATTATATCTTATCTGAGAAATATATTCTGCAGCTATAATAAGTATAGAAGATTCAAGCTAGTTCGTAGTATAGATTATAAAATGAATTAATCCAAGAATCTTCATTTTATTATATCTCAATGTTTTGCAAAGAAATGCAGATAAAGAGCTCTTCTAACTCTATTTCATAAATAAGATATTCAACTTATATTATTTCCTTATTCTATTCAATACTAAAAAGGAATCTTTTTATAAGCTTCTTAAATTCATTATTTATAAAAAACTCCAGTAAATTATTAGATTGTTCGTTTTAGCTTAATCTTTCTATTGCTTGAGAAGCATTTTCGGTATTATTTAGATATTTATACCAATAATCAAGAGAATACTATCCTTTGTTCATTTCTCTGATTATAGTATTTGATGCAGATAATAAGGAATAGCAAAGAGTATTATTATTAAGCCCTTCCTCCAGCACCTGAATGCTTCATTCAGTAATATCGAAGCAGTTTAAATTATTGCTGCTTATAATCATGCTAAGCATATACTCTCACTCTGCTATCACTATCTGCTTATAGCATCTAGATTTCTAAGAAAACTATTCTGAACCTTTCTTACTCAAAAGATATATTAAGCAGTTATTATTATAGCAGAATATCCAGCTGAAACTT